TGGCATGCGGCCACCGTGTGACGCGGGTCACACACGCACAGGTTTTCCCCCCTTTTTGATGCAAAATCAATACCAATTTCTGGAGCACACTGTCACTGACCTCACAAACTTCGTCTGATAATGCTTCTAGTAGCCGTGTTCCTCGAACCGTCTGATTCGATGCTGAATTTAGGAAATTATCCATCAACTACTGCTGGATTGGCGTTCACCGATCGGTTATGGGAATCACTCGCCCCGTTCTGCCTTTGGGCTCACTCTGGAGCCCTGCCAGCAGCAAACTCAAATTTCCAGAAAGTTTTTACTGTTGTCCGATATCCCGAATAAATTAACTGGTCCCCTCTATACGTTATCATGTTTGTTCAAAACTTTGTTCAAACTACTGCTGCCATTGCTTCAACTCTCTTTAGTGTAAATTTTGACATGCTTGCTAATTTCATATATCGGGCTTCGACACTCTATGAAGGATATGTTTACGCAAAAGCCAAACCTTTTGGCTTTGAACACATAAGACACCTAAATGCCTCTTCTGGTATACTGAGTTTTCACTAATTTAGAATCCTACACCATTCCTGTTACTGACAGAAGTAGCCATGATAACACAGACCATGCTCTCATGAAGACTTGATTACGTTTTAGCCTGCGTATCTGAGCGGGATTGGTGTTGACTATTTCTAGGTTCTTGTCACTGCCACACATTTTTCCTATTCATTTACAGTGGCCGAAGACAGCCGCCTCAGATTAGTCTTTAATTGAACAAAACGAGATCAAACTAAATTGTGCTTTCCGAACATTTACTCTTTCTTTTCCCAACTATGACACTTGCTTACGGCAACTAGCATCGAGAGGTCTGGACCCCTGCCAAGAGGGCCTGGTTGTTTGATGGTATCGGGGGTACTCTTCCTGGTCCCCTTTGAAAATTCGGACGCAGATGTGACCCGATAACACATGATAAAAGCCCCATGCACACGTAATTCCAATCTAAAACTTGCTCACCACCTCAAATAACCTTCTAAAACAGGTTGTCATTTGAGGCTGTAGCAGATCTTAGGCAGTTGTAGTCCGCCACCTCGACGATGACAGGTAGCCAGTATGTATTGGTAGCGGCGTTCCGAAACGGTCATATATTATTTTAGCAACAGCACTCTGTTTCCAGACTCCGTAGAATCAACCTGAACGTTTTGCAATTCATCGACACCGAAAGGTGTCTGCGAAATTATCGTTAAAAAGAACATACCTTATTCTGGCGGGTTCACGTTGTGTGCTCCTGGGCAAAGCGGAACTTAAATGTTTCTCTACTAGATCGGCGAAACACATACATTCATCATATTCCCAATCTCAACCGACAAAGCAAAGAGCCCGTGGACTAAAGGTAGAGTATTGAACTCAATGACCAAAGGTCTCGGGTTCAAATCTCGGGGTTCCAACCCTTGAGATTGGGTATGACTGGCTGATGACGGCTTATGAGCCAGAAGTGGTCATTTCGGTGTCCCCTTGCTTTGTCGAATCCACTTCATCATACCTTATTCTAATTAAAATGGAGAAATGAGCCGATCTCAAGAATCACGTCTTTTCCTCTGACCGTGCTATATTTAGTCTAATTCACAGTCTAGCCAAAAAGCAAAATTAGTAGCTTGTATTACCAACATCTCACTGTAGGTAGGGCTGGTAGGAAGTGAATGCCAAAATAGCGCTATGGCGGTTGTCAGAATCTGTACAAGCGTTGGCAACCCTGCTCTCTCTAATTCGAGTTCTGCCTTATTACCATCAGTGGAAGGGTTGTCGTTGGCACGAATACGGCTCTATCCTTCAGTTGGAGGATCGGTTGTGTTTCTGAACTGTGTTCTCGCATAATCGCTACCATTGCCCACTGCCAATAGCGCAGATCCGCGGAAACTGACGCGCTCCGCAACCTTGGCCCATTCGTGCAGGAGTATATTTTGCCAGCTATGACACTTAATCCAGAACGACGTATTGATATTGGGTACCGGATTATGAAAACAATGATTTCTTCTGGTACTCAAAGTCTGGCGGTGCACACTCCTTATCAGCATCACATGGACGTGTGCTGCCTGTCCGAAGTCCGGATTCCTGATCGTGGATTTCGCAAAATCAGGATCCCGGTAGTCGGCTCCCGCAAAATTCCCGATAACAGGGCCTCTTCTGATAGACACGGTCTAATGCTCATCCGCTGGCAGCAAGCGAACCATCCATCGCATTATCTGGGAACCAGTCAATAAACGACCAGCTTTTGTACGATGGAATATATATGTTACTAACGTCTCTGTCCTTCCTAGGTATAGGTTGATACCGGTCGCGGACTAAT